CATCATATATAATATATAGCACATCACCTCTGCTTATAAATTACAAGCCAGATAGGTAGTGCATTATAGGATATTAAACCATGCACATGCTAACATCTAAACAGGCTCCTGCCCAAATGCATTCGCAAATTAAGAACCCAATCCAGCACTGTACATAGGAAACTTCCAATGACTTCTTTGGGAATTGTGTCCCAGGAACGTGATGTCTATCCTCCTTGCCAGCAGATGAAATATATGCAGCAGATTCAGTAAAAATTTGATAGCATATATGGTCAGAAAAATGATTGTATAAAAATGGAACTTTCTTACTCATCATATACCCCTTGTATCTAAGATACTCTGACTCATAATTGCTTAGTTTACTGACTGAAATAAAATTCTAGGCTTCTGTTACCTTGGCAGTTGCTGACACAATGATGGTACAGCAAACTGGGGACTGGTTCTAGCTCTTCCATTTTATTTACTAAGTTACAGCCAAAGAATTTTATTAGTATTTGAGCCAGAAAGAGCACAGCATGACTTGTAAATCTCAGGTCCAGTTTGTAGGGTCATCAGTCCTAAGAGGCCTCTTTTTATTTGTAAACGAAGCAAATGTCTTGCAGAAACTTTTGAAGATAAAAATAAAAAAGAAAACCACGATGTTCAAATTAAGCCATCTTGAGTCAATTTCCGCAGTAGAACTGGATAAATTATAACACTGCTCTCTTTATCTCACTGACTATGTCCCATTCATCTGTAGCAACACTGAAACAAACAATTCCCTGGTTTTTAGACCACATCTGTTTTACTGTGCCCCCTGCACCAATTTTAATTATGTGACAGATCTGATTGGATTCAGCACCTGCAAGTCCTCCCTTTGGGATCTCCAATTAGCTTATATAGCATTTACTTGATTGCATTCTTGAAACAAAAGTATCGTTTCATTCTAATGACAGAAATATTAAAGTGTAGAATAAAAAAAATGGTTTTAACGTGATAAGTGTCTATGTTGTTTGTGTATCTAGCTTCCATAAGCTTAGAGGAAAAAGTGGTAATCCTGAAACCTAATTTCCTCAGACTCAGCAGATGTCTGTCCTGTGTTAGCCTGTTTCTTTACTGACAGCTGTTTCACAAGTGCCTCCCCTCGTCTCTACAGAATGCCTTTTGTTTAATGATTTCCCTCCACATTATCTCCCATCCCACTTAGACAAGCTTTTTCAACTTTTCTAGTAGTTCTAGAAGGTTTTGTTACAGTTTCAAGAAAGGTTTTTATTTGAAGAAGTTAGCTTTAGCTAGGTAACTAACCTCTCAGCTAGTTTCTTAGTAGCAGTTCTACTTAACTAGGCAGATAGCTGCACGTAATCAACATTTCAACAAATACCAATTTACTATTAAGGAAATTTTCAATTATTACAGCTATGCTTCAGAATATGCGCTTTTTTCTCTTTATTTAATTTCTTGGAGCGGTGATTTTGAAGGTCTAAGGGGGAATATCACATTAAGTGAAGCCCTCTAGTGGCAGAGGTCACACGGAGTTTAAAGCAAGCTGGGTCTTTGTCATGGGTTGGGGCAGTGAAAGGAACAGCTTTTAGCAAAACGCGGGCAACTGCCCTGCATTGTTCATGGTCTGAAGCATGAGTGAAAATAGTTGTGGCGGCCTGTAATACCACCGTGCTCCCTCTCTGTTGTAATATCTGTGCAGAAAGTACCGACGGAAAATATTTAAAAGTGTTTATCAGTAGAGTTTTCCTCTTTTTCCAAGTCTGTCATCTGTTGTTCATCTTTTCTGTTTTCAGCCAGCTCCAGACTGGCATACCTGATCAGGGGTTTTTCAAACAGTTGTGGGATCTTGATTTCTTTCCTGTCTGTATCAGTCCTATCCTACTGTATAATGTATTCTGTAACTTCAGTGAGAGGTTGTTCAGAGATGACATGGAGTACAAATTCCATTTGCCAGCTTTATTTCTAAAATCATTCTCAGCTGGTGGAGATATGGAGGGTAGCATTTAGATTTATCCCTCCCACAGACATGAAACCTATGCTTAGAATTGAAAGGGATAAAGAACTGGGAGAAATTAACCATATTTATTAACAAATAGAAATCTGCATAATAACTCAGGTGAAGTTTTAGTAAACATCACTTAATCTGATAAAGTCTACTTTGTGGAACAAGACTCAATCTCCTGTTTCTTTTAGAGGTGATGGATAGTTCTCATCTGACTAACAGAATGAGGAGTTCATTTTTCCCCTTATGGGGAATATGACAGAGTCCAATAATCATTAGATGAAAAACGATACCTCTTAAACATCCTGGCTAGGTAAAAGAAAACAGATTCTGTCTTTGTCCAAAAGGACTGACAGCTTTTTATTACTGGATGGTTGCTGTGACTCCTGTAAACTTTGGCTTCACTAAAATTACAGTTAGCGATAAACTCAGAAGGTTCTTTCAAGTCTTTAATATCCATCTTCTGTTTATGACGCTTTTTTCCTCCAATAACCTACCAGTTAAACTATTATTATTGTTGATTAGGTTATCCAATTGCTGCATGTTAAAATACTGAAGAATTTGTTCATCAGTAAATATTTTTTAATTTCAGTGGAACTTCTCCAAGATTTCAGCAATATTAACCTGAAAAATTCAAACCCAGCATTTGGGAAAAGAGTTGAACATGTATTAGACAGAAAATGACCCGATTATCTGATTTTCCACATTTACATTCCTTTTATTATCTGCATTATGTTTTACATATATATTGCTGAATTAAAAGCCAAAGTCATACTCTTCACTGGAAAGAGCATGGACAACTGCTAAACCTTTTCATATTGCAGATCAGTGCTGTGTAGTAGCTTTCTTTTTCTAGGAAACTGAGGATGATTACTTAATTTTGACCATATTATTTGTCATAACATGAATACATTGGCTAAAATTCTTTTTCTGGTGGTGGAAGAAGGAAGTGTTTGTAGGAAATCAATGTCCATTTCTTCTCTCTCAGCAGAGAGGTCACCTGTCTCCTATTCTGACAAAGTTAATCAAAATTCACAGATCCTTTTTTTTTTCAACTTTTCTTCAGGAATATGGAACTGAATTCATCTGAGTTCTTCATTGCTGAATCTGTAAGTCAAATTTATAAGCGGTTACCCAGGGACTTACCCAGATCTCAGTGTAGAAAACAAGATAGCCTCAGAACAAGGTAATTTTCATCTTTTCCAAGGAATTGACATTGTGGATCCAGATATCTGAAACTCCAGTGGCTCAACGCTTACTCCAAAAAGCCATCTACCTGGTGATCTTTATGTACAGTAATTTAAAGACCTTTCATTTCTCAGAATGAAAAAAAAAAAAAATAAAGACTAGATTTCAATTGCCTTCCAAAAACAGTAGCATCTTCTGGTTTTTTTAGGTTGTGTTTTGGGCTTTTGTTTGTTTGGTTTTGGTGTGTTATTTTGGTTTTAATAGGAAAATAGATATTCAAGGATTAAAACTGCTGTAAACTATGAGTAATTCCACTGTAATGAAACAATGTAATATCATATGTGAGAAATAGCAGGATCTCCTTGTGTAGCTTCAGTTTACAGTGTTACTGATTGTGTATTTTTGTTACTATCTTACAAAAGGACACTGGTGAAGCATCTTGTCTACAAACAGAATTCAGCCAGCCATCGCTCCAGATGCTTCAGTATTCATTCCTTGAAAAGCCTGGTGAACAGTGTATTTTTCGATCAGCATACCTGTTTCCAATCTGTTATTATAATTGCTCTAACAGTATTACTATTTTATGTGTCATTTTGCCCACCCACCACCAACTGTCTTATTTGCTTGAAATTTTGGCACTTTACAAGACGTAAAGTAAGGAGAAAGATACATTAACAGCAAAATTAATTTGTTTGATTCTGTTGTCAAGCTTGATCCCCTTTCTGGAATAATATCATCTTACAATATAGGCCCTTAATCAGGATTGGTTTAGAATTTTGCTATAGTTCAATTTATATACAAAATTATGTTAGTAGAAAAGATCAGAAATCTTCCTGGAAAAGGAGCGGAAAGGGGAAAAGTAAAGATGTTGCACAGTGGACAAAGGAAAAATAAGAAGACAATAATGAAAAAGGCGCTGATTTTTTTTCTCTTGTAAGCAAAATTTATATCAAATTATGTAGTGAAATTTGAGTTGCTCTGATCAATTTGCTCACTGGTAAAATGTATACTACCTGAGATTATTAAAGACAACTATGTCCTAGTAAAATTGTATTAGTAAACTCTCCTACTGTTAACCATTAAGATACTCCACTTTTCCTGTATAATTTTTTATCAATTTTCCAAATAATAGGCTATTCCAGCAGAAGTAAGTTTTACAAGTGTAATACAATTGTAATGGTAGAAATTTTGCCAATGGAAAGGCAAGAAAAGTAGTGTCCCTAATATTATTGAAATGTAGACCTAGATGTCTTTAAAAACACTTTTAAAATGCTTACTATAGAAAAAATTATGTGTCAGTATATTACAAATTAAATCTTCAGCACAGCAAGATTTTAGGAAAGAATACACTAGGAACTTTAAGAGATTCCTCACTGAAGTTTAGCAAATACCTTTACCATTTCTTCTTCAAGAAATTATTTCACTTCATCAACAAAATTTAATTATTTTATTTTATTTCTACCCACTTGAAATTGATTCCTACAAAATGCTCCTGAACTGGAAAGTCTTCTGGTGGGGGGAGGGTAAACAGCTAAAACTGACTGCCAGGATAAATTGGCCAGAATGATTTGGCACATATCCTGAGTTTGCCATGAAAACATGTATCTGTGTGTCAGCTGCACACAAAGGCTATCTGGCCCCAGAAAAAGCACAGGGATTAGGCATAATGCTGCCTATTTGAGACAAAGGGTGTTCCTTAGTGCAGTGAGGTTAAAACAGACAGCTCATCAGTAGTACAAGTCTATCTGAATTATTTAGTTACCATTTTGAGCCAGAAGGAAATGGTGGCAGATTATTAATGACTTTTGGGGTCTATTCATCTCTTTATTTTCTTTCAGTGAAAGCAGTACTGGAAACATGAAAAGGTGCCAAAATTTGAGATCAGTTTTACTTTAATCACTTACAAGATATAGAATCACTTTCTTATTTCAATGCTAGTTGAAAAATAGAACTGATTTTGATTTATATTTCACTTAGACTTATGAGGTTGCTATTTATGTTTGTAAGTGAGTGCATGACCAAAATGAATGGAACAACTCATATGCTCTAGAAAATAGAAGTCCATGGATCTACTGGATGAAAACTGTTTTATTGATTTCAAGGGGGTTTAAGTCATTCCATACAAAATACTTCAGGGAAAAATAGTGACAGGTGTAAAGAAACTATATAAAAGATATTAACATAGACTGCAATGCATTCTTGCAATCAGAGATATTCTTGTCATATTTCAGTGATGGGCAATTTGAATTAATTTTGCACAGAAATATTTACGGATATGTACTAAGAACATATAAAAAGAGTATTTAGGAACATATTTTTTTTCATTTCTAATTAATTATATATGAACAAAATAACAGCTGGTATATAATTTAAAATTTGGCAGTTGCAAAAATTAAGATTAAGGACACAGTTTCCAATAATTTAAAATCTTAAGTTAAGGTGAAGCCTTGTGTTATGTTGATAATAAGCAGATCCAAATAAGGTATTATAGAAATTTTAGATTATATTTATTAAAAAAAAAGCCTGATTATTTTTCCTGTGCAATTTTTTCAGAATATTTTTGTTGTAATATTTTAGCCAAGTAGGAGGACTTCTGTTTCAAAATTTCTAAATATTTGTATTTTTCTTTTCATTCTTATTTTCATTTAAAGGTTCAGGTTGTTTCCTCTGGGCCAGAAAAAAAATACATTAAAACAGTAAAAATAAAATTGCTGCAGAACTAAGTCATTGCAAGTGAGATGAAAAATAAAAAAAATACAAATCACAAAAAAACCCCTCAAAAACAGGATCATAGTGCATTAGCAACAATGCTTGCAGATTCATTATGGCTCACAACAAAGGTATTTATAAGTGGACCTCCTGCCTCTGTTGCATGCTGTCATTGCTTTGGATTGACTGCTGTTAGATCCCTGTAATCCTGAGCCCCGGGATCTTGTCCTACATGTTTACCCCACTTGGTATGCATGTCAGTATGTATTTCAAATGGAAATGAACTCTAATCTTTCTATGTGTTAATAGAAAAGGGTTTTAATCTCCTAAACCCCATATTTACCATGGTTTTGTTTTGTTGTTTGGATTTTTTAAAAATAAAGTTTATAAAAGCTGTGTTCTGCTTCTATTTGTTAGCTTCTATTTCTGCTTCTATTTGTTAGCTTATCCACTTAAGTTTGGTTAATATTTGGCATTTCTTAACTCAATAGTGTGTCATGGCAATAATATTATGGAATATATTCAAAGATGAGGAGACAGATTAACAACTACTGGTCTAAAAATTACATTTTAATAATGGAAAGTCTTGTCAACATTCTTGTCTGTAATGCACTTGTAAGAATAAAATTTCATATTATAGAAGATTCATATTACCTATATAGAAATAATATATGACTGTCATTCATTTGTGAGACTATATTGTCCTGGAGATGTTATTTGGAGATTAAAACCTAAATATTATTTAATTTAGAATAGATTCGTTAAAACTATCATATCCCATTCCACTTGAAAATGTGTTGTTGACAACAGATGAAAAAGAATGTACTTCCTTTGAAAGGGATAAAAAAAGTCATCAATATACTTGAGTTCCAGTCCTCAATCCTGTAAGAAAATTCATATTTGCAGTTCCTTTTACCCAACACAATTCTTGAGTCATGTAGGAACTTTGTGAAAATTACTGCTATTTCCATATTATGACTCTTATTAATAAATATTTGCATCATGCAGCTGCTTGTTGGAGCTTGGTTTCATGACCATTTGTCTGGGATCCCTTTTCCAGTGACTGACCAACCTCTCAGTGAAGCACCTTTTCCTGATCTGGTTCTGGTCAGAACTTCCCCTGATGGAGCTTCATTCCAGTTCCTCATGTCCTATTGCTAATCACCAGAGAGAGGAGATCAGTCCTTCCCCTCTTCTTGAGGAAGTTGAAGACTGAGATGACATCTTTCCTCAGCCTTTTCTTCTCCAAGCTCCAACAAACCAAGTGACCCTGGCTGCTTCTCCCTGCCTTTCACCATCTTGGTCAACCTTTTCTGAATGCTCTCTGATAGTTCCGTGGTCTTCTTATGTTGGGGACAATAATATAAATGTGAAAATCATGAGAGCAATTTGAACAATGGTGTGACATGATGAGGATGCTTTACTTAAGAACCTAGTGGAACACGTAACTCCACCTGGATAGAACCCCATTCCTGGCAGAAATTTATTGACATCCATAGGCTGTCATTAGGGAAATGGATCTTCCACTTAAGAAAATGTGTTCTAAATTTATAAAACTTTTAATTTCTGTCTAGTAAAAGTAGTTTCAGCATATTCCAGTCTACTTTATTGATTTTGAGATTACTTTTGGAACTAAAGGTGATGTGAGGAATTTGTCAGCCAACTCAGTCAAAACCCCCACTTTTAATATCTGTCATCTAGTGTGTCAGGTTATTTCCCAAGTTCAAGTAATAAACTGATAAACTAAGGATGTATTAGACACAGAAGAAGTACACAAAAGATGATATTGATTTAATTAAAACATTAGATTAGAATCATATACAATCATATAAACATATAAATATCATATACAATCATTCTTTTAAGCTATTTTTTTTAAGCAAAACATGCAAGGGTTAAAATTCTTAGAGCAAAAATATCTTCCTTAGTTCCACATATTTTTAATTTTAAAGTAAATGTGTTAACAGAAAGGGGACTACAACAAACTGTAATTTTAAAGTTTAGCTAAGTTTAAATAGCAATAGAATAGTCCTTCCAGCATGCTTTACTATTTAATGTAAATTCCTCCGACCCATCCCCCAAGTTAACTTACTATGCTCTTTTAAGAATTTAACATTTTATAAAGATGAAACATTTGGTACAACTTTTAACAATTTAAGAAAACAATAGAAGATGATGGTTCTAGGAAATTATTATGTTAAGGGTTTTTTTCAGTTTTTAGTGTCTAATTGTAGTAGCCACAATTTAGGCAATAGCCACGTATGGTTCTGCCAGGTTCAAAGATATTATTCTGCATCAAGCCCTGAAAGATTTTGTTCAGTTATGCAAATGCTCATTCACTTGAGTAGCCTTTATTCATATATGTGATCGTATTCAACACATTGTTTTATGATTAATCAAAACACTGAAGTGTCGCAAAAAGAGTACCTTCTCTTTTCTTGTGTTTTTGCACAATTTTCTGTACAGGCAAATATTCTTCAGAAACTATTTAAACTGCTTATTATGCATAGCAAAGCATGCCTGTAAAACATTTTGTGTCTCTATTTCTACAACAATATGTATTATTTTTAATCATTATAATCGGAAGCTTCATTGTTCTTGAAATACTGCTTTGTTAATCAGATTTCTTGTACTTAGATAAATATTACTTTGCAAATACATAGAAAAGAATGTATAGAAAATATCAGTCCCTCAAACTTTTGTGTTTTTCAAGTCTGACTTTTGTTAATTATCTTTTGGACATTGTGGGTAAATTGTTCATTATTACATTATCATAATGTGGGGGAACTGGATTGCACTATCTCCAAAGAATATGCATTACATCAAAATGGATTACCTAAAACTGGTTGAAAGCCATTTTTCTCATCGTTGCAATTGTCACATTAGTGAAAGAAAACAGTCAGCATTCCATGAACATTTTATTTCTTTAGAATCTCTAAGATTTCCCAGGAGAATAAATCATATAATCAAGCAAAAGTGCTTGGTGTGATCAATTCTGCAACACTGCGTTGCTTTTTCTGGAAAGTCATTTATGAAATAATTAACTGTATCCATGTTATTCAGTGTTGTCTACATACCTTAATAAAACATAATGACAGCAGGCATTGATCATGGAAGTTTGAACATTATTTTATCGTGATTGTTTTCAAAATTCAGTTTGATGAAATGAACATTCTGGGTAAATCCAGTTACCTGAGAATAAACTTAAAAACTGTAATTACTTTATGAAAATAAAGAGGCATATCACATGTATTTGGTGAATTTCAGTTTTATTAAAAATCTCTAGGATCCGAATTACATTTTATCAATAACAAAATATTTTAATTATCAAAATCTTTAAAATAAAAGAAAAATAGATTGTCTATTAAAATGCAAGTCGGGCATCTATGTGGGCTTATAGCTGTGAACGCACAAATAAAACACACACATATGAATGACATACATACCTTGTGCATGTAAGTATATATATGTTTATGTTGTATTCATACATAGAATCACACAGCAATTTTGAGCCCTCTAGTGGTAAGAAACCTCTCTGTTAAGAATACATTAATCTCAGCCTAAGTATATCCACTCTAAGAGGCAAGCGTCTAAATGTCTACAGGATGATTATGTCTTCATGTAAGTTCAGGCTATGTCACTGCAGTTGGCATGGGTGTGTACATACAAATGTTAATAACTACATAGATCTGCAAGCCGTGTTATGGTTTCCAGCATGGTAATTTTTGTGCCTTTTCTTTGCTAAAAAATAAAAAATATCTATTCTGTATTCTTTTGACACATTATTGATAATTCGTGATACCTGTTGAAAAAACAAACAAAAAAAAAACCAAAAAACTCCACTCAATCTCCTGACCCAAACACTGTCTAATAAAAGGAAAATGTTTTCAAACACAACATCCTCATTCTCAGCCTTTCATTATATAGGTACACATGTAGTTACTACAGGGAAAGGAGGAAAAAAAAAATCTTCATTTCCGTTTGGAGAAGTTTTCACAACATATAACTTCAGCCATCTAAAAGCTAGGTTTCTAGGCTAAGCTGGTTGTTTGTACTCACCTTGCTGTCACTGGAGACAAATAGGTTGTTTGAGAATGAGTTGTCTTGTAAAGGTGCCTGGGAGAGAGCTGGAAGATAGGTGAAATATTTATGGATGCAAGGGTCTCTCCATTCTTCAAGGAGACCTAGATAGCAAACTTGGAATCTATGTTTTCTTTTTTATAAGGCTGAAAAATAATTATATAAGAATCCTAGATTTGAGCAACATTGAATAACACAAGAATAAATACTATTGTTTATAGCAATGCTTACATAATGCATATCATACTATAAGATGTAATAAAATATTAATTAATATGTATATTATAATAAGATATTAACAAATAAATCTCAGACCGGTTAATCTACTACATGGCAAAATCATTTTGTAAGATTACTACTACTTTGAGGAAACTCCAGAATAACATTCAGAAGTGTTTTTTTTCTGGTGCAGGATAGATTTGATGGGCTCCAGGGATAAAATTTTCTTTCATTTTCCTCTTGGACTCAGTTTAAATATTTGTTCAGGATGACCATCCATACCTGAGACCTTATGAATTCTGCAGCTGACCTTCAGGAAATTTTTGCAAGAACAAAGGAGCACAGCTATTCAGTGTGGTAAGATTTCTAAGGTCTTTTCTCAGGGAACTCTTACCAGGAGGATCTTAACTACAGCATTCATTCCCTCTATCCAGAGTCCCATAATCTTGTTGACTCTCAAGAAAGTGAAAGTGTAATTGACATGAGCTTTATTCACATATGTGATTGTATTCAATACAATTCAGAGATGAATCTGAGTTTCTGGAATTATTTAATTAAAAAACTAGTTTATTATTTTATGATCATAATTTGTTATGTGACAAGTGCTTAGGACAGGAAAATTACATAAGTTATAAGCAATTAATTCTCATTTTTAAAAATAAAATGACAATTTTGTTTTCAATGTACTAAAGCAATTAAAATATATTATTTTTCAATTGATTGTTTATTTTTCACATCTATCAAAATTCTATACCTTATGATACAGAAATGAACTCCTAAAAGGGAATTGTACAAATTGATTTTTCTTACAAGATTATCTAGGCAAATCATGCATGACAGAATATAATTTTTGTGTGATAACAGTCCACTTCAGGCAGGTACTGTCGTGTAAGGTTGCGATATACTTCCAGCATGCAAGGTTATGATTATCAAAAAGACTGGAGTAGGTTATGCCTCACAGAAGAGAACACTGGTGACTTCAAAAGGTGAAAAAATTACAGAACTGCGGAATGGGTCAGGCTGGAAGAGACCACAGTGGTCATCTGGTCCAACCTCCCTGCTCAAGCAGGGCCATCCTAGAGCACGTGGCACAGGACTGATCCTGACAGTTCTTGAACATCTCCAGTGAGGGAGACTCCACAGACTCTCTGCACAACCTGTTCCAGTGCTTGGTCGCCCTCACAGGAAAGAAGTTCTTCCTCATATCCTGGTGGAACTTGCGTGCATCAGTTTCTGCCCATTGCCTCATGTCCAATTGTTTGGCAGCACCAAGAAGAGCATTTAGATAAGAATACTAAACGTTATTATGAGACTTGAAATGCTAAGGGAAAAATAAATTATAAGTTAAACCATGGCACCTTTCTTGTTTAAAATCCATTTTCTAGTAGAAATTAAAGATTCAGGAAAGTAATACAACTTATCAGTGTTATGCTTGGGATAAACAATCCTAAATTCATAGTTCTCAAAATCAGATGTTATTGTTTAGTTATGAAAACTTTATAACAATAGTATATGATGTCTGGATAAAAGTGCTAGTGGGCAAAATAATCTTAATTTTCTCCAAGAAGATTTAGCAATTGCTTTGGCATGAGTAGAATATAAGGATAAAGATGTTTTAATGGGTGCTTAGGCAATCAGGAATTCTTGACAGCAGACCGATGAAAGAGAAAATTAAATTTAAAGACTGCTGGTGCAAAGTCATCAAACCAAGTTGTACTTCCTGATCTTTTGCAGCCGACATCACTATTATCCTTCCTGCATCTTGCAATTATTTCATCAGGTCTACAGGAGACTAAGATACTGTTCATTGATGTGTCACAGGGAAAAACAGTCTCCCTATGTGGAAAATCACACTTCATGTGCCACACAAAGATGAAATAATTTTAACACCTTAAATAAAGAACTGCTTAAAAAACTGCCACCAAATGAGCATGGTTGAGAATATAAACCATACACCAGAGAAAAAAGACAAAGACAACAAAAATTCAGTTTCCATCCTCTAATATGTACTACATCCCAAAGCTTCAGTCATGTGTTTAAAAGACATTCATGGCAACAGCCAAACAAAGCAGGGGTTCAATTGCTGTATGGGCCATTTGCTCAGAATTTGAACTTGATCCTTGCAGGACCCTTCCAAGTCAGAATATTCTGTGGCTCTATGATCCTTGCCACACAAGGTTGATTAATAAGGGTGGTAAAGGGCAGTCTGTTGGATTTCCTGTGACTTCATAACTTAGGTAACAGGTGCTAGAGTAGATCTCAAAATTACCCCTCTTGTTTTCACATCTTTTGGAAACAAATACAGAGGCCAGAACAGGCAACTGAGCAATAGATTCCTCTGCTTTTCAATGTCATGTCTGTTGTCCAGTAAGGCTAGCAAGGAAACAGCAGGTTTTTTTAATGTGAGACATAAGTTTCATAGAGTCTCTACAGCCTCTAATATTAAATAGGGTCAAGACTTCATCTGAAGAATTTGAACTGAATGCATTTCAAAGAGATTACTGATATGCTTTTCTATTATAAGAATTTTTATGGTTGTGTGCAGAATCATAAATAACATGAAGCATCTCACTTCACGCTCCAAAAAAATTGCTGTCTAAGATTATGAGAGGATCCCTCTGTGGACATCAGCATATGATACACTAGCTATGCCTTCCTGAAAGGGCTGGTCCTTCATTATCAGCAGCTGAATAGTAGTTTCTTGTGGACTGCTATTCTTTTCTACTGTTTCAATTTCTGCATGTCATTAATGGCCAGGAGAGATCATGTACAGTTTGAAAAGAGGAAGAGGCTCCCAAAAAAAATCATGTTTCTGCATCAGCACTGAATTCCTCTGTTGCATCTATAGGCTTCTTTCTTTGGTATTTGGGAACTGAGTTGTCAAACAGTTTTTTAAGAAACATTTTTGTATTTTATTTATAGATTTACAGAAGTAATCATATCACAACAAGGGAAATCTTATAAAAAGATAAAAGCCTTATCATTAAAAACTAGCAAGCAACATCTTGTGTGAAACAATCATAGAATGGCCTGGGTTGGAAGGAGCCTTAAAAGATCATCTGATTCCAATCCCCTGCTGTGGACAGTGACATCTTCCACTAGATCAGCTTATTCAGCCCCCCATCCAGCCTGGCCTTACACACTTACAGGGGTGGGGCATCCACAGCAGGCTCTTCCAGTGCCTCACTGTTACAGCACATGTCACAGTTTAGACAGCCATGACACACAGAGTATCATCATACAATGTCTGAAAGCTTTAACCCATACACAGTAACACTATATCTCATCAGACAGCTTCAGGTGTCCACCCATACAGAGTAAAATCAGATCACTTCAGAAGGCTGAAAGCATCTGCCCTTCTTGTTCTTTAGCCCAGCCTTTTATACCCCTGATGTTGATGCATTGCACCTGTGAGCCCTCTGTTCCCTTTGGTGGTTGGTCAGTGCCCCTGGGCACTCCATGGCTCATTGCTGTCAATGCTGCTCACCTGCTTCTCACAGCTGTACCTATTGGGGATGAGCCTGGCCCCAGCCCCACTCCCAATTACACCAAACTGTGTGCCTATACCTCACTACCCTCACATAATTTTAATTTTTTTTAAACTATCTAATCTAAACCTACTCTCAGTTTAAAACATTCCTCCTTGTTCTGTTGTATTCTTGTAAAAGATCCTTCTTCATTCAGGTACTGGAAGGCCACAATCAGGTCACCCCAAAGCCTTCTCTTTTCCTGGCTGAACAAACCCAATTCTCTCAGCCTTTCCTGATAGGTGAATAATCTTATTATATCATTTTAGAATATAACTGCTTGCCTTCTTATTGCCTATGTCCGTATGTACATGTTGTTCCTAATGCTTATTGATTACCCGTTTGACATCACACCTATCAATTTCATAACGTACAAGTATTTGATTCAAAAAACTTTTACTTCATGTCGTAAGTGAATTAAATA